AGACTTTAGGTTTGTTTTCCCTGATAAAGTATTAGCAAATAAAGTCAGACTGCCTTTATTTTGCTTTTTCCATTTCTGTTCCCCCCTACCTCCTTCTCTCCTTTCTTTCCTAATGCATTATTGATTTCCTACTATGTGCTAGTCATTGCAAATGAAATTGAGGATGCAGTGAAGAAAAAATATATCACTACAATTATTTAGAAAACAGTTGGCATTACCTATTAAAGTTGAACCTGTGCATGTTCTGTGGCCCATATATTTGACTGTTAGATACTCTAGAGACACTTGTGCACTTATGTGCCTGGATGTATTATAAATATTTTCATTACAACACCTTAATACTTCTAAACTGGGTCCATATTAAATGGAAGCTTATCTAGCATGAGGGATTTAGGTTAACTATATGTAGTAAGAAGAAATGTCTGATGTGCTTTGTCAATGACTTATTGAGGGAAAGTGCAACATTTTCTTCTTGGCAGTCTTCAAATATAATAGGATAAACTCATTTTGTTGATGGTTGAGGACATGATCTTCCTTTACTGCCCTATTATTCTCTGGTATCTGGGAAAACCCTGAAAATGCTTTTCTGAGCACTTACTTCTCCCAAAAGAAATGGAAAGAAATGCTGGTTAGGATATGATGCACGAGAGACTTTTATTAATCCCTTATCTATACTTGCCTTGAGGACCAAACAGTGTGTCCTTCCCAAGAGTGTGAGACTGCTTCACTTTTCACTTTCAAATATTAAAATCACTGTAAATGTCTACTTTGACTAATCTGGACTAACGACAGAAAAGATTAGTGTCACTAGCATATAGCTTTACATGAGCAAATCACTTTAAATAGGCTTAAATCTAAGAGGTAAAAGCTGTTTTGCCTAGACTTTTCTAGTATTTATGTCATATTCACTGTGCACATGCACGTGGTGTGTGTGTGTGTGAGAGAGAGTGGGAGGGACAGTCAGAGGGAGAGAATGGGGGAAAGAGAAAGACAGAGAGAGAAAGAGAGAGAAAGGCATTATTTTTACCGTGTGCATGATGTAAAAGTAGAAGAGTTAATTGCTAATTAGAGAGGTCAAATTAAGGGGTTATGATAACTATTTTTACCAAAACCATGATCTTATTTATTTATTTAAAGATTTATTTATGCACAAAAGAACTGGGGTACAGGCCAGAGGTGTGGGGGGTGAGAGGTTTCACCAGAGACAGAGCGGGGAATAGAACAGGCAGACTGACTGAAATACACTGCTGAGGGGAGCAGCGGGTGAGTCACGAGAGGTCTGCTGCTCCATGTGGGGTAGCTTCTTGGCCGGGGATCGAACTCGTGCTACAGTGGCTGCGGATAGCTTCATAGGTTGCGTCTTAATCCCTTGCGCCACCAGGGAGGCCCCAAAACCACAGTGTTTTGGATTCAAAAGAGAATAAGGAGTGACAGAAGGGATAAGAGGAAAGAGGAGGATGATATGGAAATATAAAAAGAATGAAGGTAAGAGAAGAAATAAAGGGCTAGGTAGGGGGAAGAGGAAAGAGGAGGAGGAAGAGCAGGGACTGTAACAAATAAAAGAGATAGTAGAGATGGTAATGTTAAAGGGGATAAAGCAGAAAAATAGAAGAATCAGAAAACAGAAATAGGAAAGACAGAAAGGAACAACAGAACAACCAACTGATCAATAAACAAATGCACAAACAGATGGGGGGATAATTGCTTCTCAGGACTTTGATGGCTCCCAGTGAGCTAGTCGTTGCTATTTTAGTCTGGTCTGCTGGGGAGCACCACAGGGCTGGGTAGGATAGTTTTCCCATGGTCTGCTGTCTTCCTTGTAGCATGTTGAGGAGGATAAAAAATAAATAAGAGCACAAAAGGGCATGGATTGAACTGCATCTGTGGGTGTGGGGGGTCCGCACTCTTTCTGGGCCCATGAAGTAGTTGGGTGGGTGATGGGCCTTCTGAGGGCTCCTTCCACCTGGATTACCAAGAGGCCCCCAATGTACGGACCTTCCTATGAGACTCCCCCTGATGTCCTTCCTGTTGGTAAATGCACCAGTTAAATGGTCCTGCTGGTGTCCAGGAAGGGGGAGGGGAGGGAAGTGCCCCCACAAAGGGCTCACGTCCTGTGCTGTGTGCCTGCCCTGTGGCTCTCTTTGCCCACCTATCTCTGTCTGATGTTCTCAGATGTCTCCAAATTCTCCAGGTATCTGATCTCCATGGTTTTTCTTGGTTTCTGCTTGTCCACGGGGGCCAGCTTTATGGGTGGGGGAGGGGAGAAGGGTTCTGATGATTTTTCCCTCTTTCCTTCCCCTGTCCTTCCAATTTTCTTCTACATCTGGATGAATCACCGGCGTCGCCCAGTTTGTCTAGTGCATCTGGGAACTCGCCGTTATTTCTCCCTATCATTTGTTTTTATGGGAGAACTTGATCCTAGTGGATCTTTGCTGCCAGTTTGATTATAATGTGTCTTGGTGTGGGTCTTTTTATACTTATCCTAGTTGGTATTCATTGAGATTCTTGAATATGGATGCCCGTTGCCATCATTTCTTCAAATAGGGTCTCTGTGGGCTTCTCTCTCTCTAGTTCTGGCACTCACATAATGGGTACATTGATTGTCCTATGACATCCTGTAAGTCCCTTAAGCTGTCTTTACTTTTCTTCATTGTTTTCCCTTTTTGCAGTTCAGATTCAATAGTTTTTAATTAATTCTTTCTTAAGTTTTCGATTCTTCTACTTATTCAAGTCTTCTGTTGAATCCCTCTAATGAAATTTAAATTCAATTATTGTATTCTTTAACTCCTGAATTTCTGTTCTTTTCTTTGGTGATAATCTTATTTTGTTTATGTATCAGTTTCATAATTTTGTTTATTTGTCTGTATGTGTTCCCTTAGCTCATTGAGGAGCTTTAAGATGGTTAGTTTGAATTTTCTATCAGATAAGCCATAGACTCATCTTTAGGATGGGTTTCTAGAGATTTATTTTGTTCCTTTGAGCCATGTTTACTTGTTTCTTTGTAAACCTGGTGATATTTTGTTGAGACTTGGAGATTTGGAAGAACAGTCACCTCTTTTAGTCTTTACCGATTGACTTCATGTAGGGGAAGACACTCACCAGTCAGCCTGGCTAGAGATTCTGGAAGTCTTTCAGACTTTTCCAGGGATGCCTCTTCTCTGGGTAATTTCCTAGTTGAAGAGGATTACCTCTGTTCTAGTGTCTGCCTGTAGTACTGCAGACACTATTGCGATAATGTATTAATCACATTTGCCTTAGTTTTTAGCAGTCCCCAGGCATCCATGGTATACTGCCATTTCTTTCAGCATTCATTCAGAGATCAGTCAAGAATCAGAACAGGCAGGACAGATTGGGCACCCCCCCCACCTCTATAAAGCCAGAGTTTTGGATGTATATTCCATTTTTTTCTTTCTCTCCCCTCCCAAAGGAGAAACTAGAAGTAGGGGTTTTCTTCCAGTGCTGTTGTGCCGTGTTGGATGGGGGCTGGATAGAGGCTATAGAAGCTATATGCAAGGAACTTTTTACCTGCTTTGTTGTGGCTGTTTTTGACTTTGCCTTTGCCTGGAATACTGCATCCTCTGAACTGGTTTCTGCAGTTTTCCCAAGGGTGATTTGGTTCATGTTTTGTTAATTTGGTATCTTCATAGGGAATGGGGGTGGGGGCAGTGCTATTTCCTGCCATCATTCTCAAGTGTTATTCAAATATCTGTCGTATGAAATGGAGATAATGAATATCGGTAGAACATTAAATATGGTAGCACACATCTAATCTGTCTCATTCCCCTCTCTACTCAGGATTAAAGAAGTCATTCCAGGCTTCTTTTCTGTCTATCTCTGTTTTTGTCTCTCTTTTTAGTGGTGTAGTAGCTAGCTTTTAATGAAAGCTCATTTTGCATTAGGAATTTTTTGTGCTCCTGTTATGTGTGTATTAATTGATTTACTTCTTACAATAGTTGTAAAAGAAAGATAGTATAATCATTTCCATTTCACATATGAAGAAACTGCATTAAAAGAGTCTAAGTAATTTACCCAAGATTGTACATAACAACTGATAATTGTCTTAGGCTCAGTTTTATAAAACAACTTTGCAAAATGAAAAGAAAGATATATATTCTTTTTGATTTAATATTTAAAATTATGTTTGTTGCAATAATGTTGGCTTATAGCACTCTATATGTGTTAGGGGTTTGTAGGTTCACACCTCTACAAATTCATCTTACCTAATCACACCCTTCAAGACCCCAACACATTCCGCTGGGTACCCCCGTGTACTCTACCTCTCCCCTCTGGTAGTCTCAGTTCTGCAGTCAGATTTCAAGGGTTAGTTTTTATTGGTTTCTTGATTGGTTTTTAATGTTCCACACATGAGAGAAATCATCTGATACTTGTTGTTATCCTTCTGACTTGATTATATGTATTCTTTACTTAGAATGAGTTAAATTTATTTATTGTGGGTCAAATAGAGCAATATTTTAAAGACAAAACACAGAATTCCTGACTATCAGAGTTTTATCACAGAATTATTTTTTTCAGGTGTGACTAGAGATCCTATGTTCTGCACTATTGATAGTTTAATAATTAGAATAATATAATCATATGTTTTCATTGTTTCACCAGTTTTATTGAGACATGTCATTGTGTTTATGGTGTACAACATAATGATTTCATGCATGTATATGTCGTGAAATGACACTACAATAAAGTTAGTTAACTCACCCCATCACCTCACATAGTGATCTTATTTTTTAAAGAATAAAAATTTTTAAAATCTACTCTCTTAGCAACTTGAACAAATATTCTTCAATTTGAGAAAGACTAGCTTATATAAACTATAAGTCTCTTTTTAACAAAATTATTTTTTTGTAACAAGAAATTGTTGACTTACTGTAGATATTATTTTGTGTTGTTGTAAGTGGTAATTATGCTGTTGGAAATCTCTGTGGTTTAAATACCAAAAAAAATAGAATGACATAAAAGATGTTTATTTTTGTTTTTTATAGGACAGAGTTCACTCAAAGAGGCAGGATTTCAATCACTGGGGCAGGCTTTTTCAACTGCATTTTGGAAACTTTTGCCAGCACATTCTTAAGACAGGGAGCCCAGAAGGTAAGTTGTTTCCACTTTGAACTAACATTAATTTTAAGAATCCATGTTGATTCCTATTGGGTTATTGAATAAAGCTCAGGAACAGACATAATGAGAAAAAAATACAGTTAATAAACAAATATATGCCAAAAATTATCCTTACTAATTATTACATAAATCCAAACGAGAGTAAAGCTAATCTGCCATTTGTGGCACATTACATTGAAGATATGCCAACAAAGAGTATGTGATACTATGGAGAATACTTATTGTTTACTTAAGAGAAATAATCAGAATGAATAATTATATTTAGAGTATATATAGTATGTTCATAAATGTTTTATAAAAAAATAATAGCTAATACAGATTGAGTGCTTATTGTATGTTATTTTTACTATAAAATGAATTTTTATTTATTATTTGATTCTTTCAAACTTTTGAAATAGTTATTATCCTGATATTAGAGATGAGGAAGGCATAGAGATTCAGAGCTCTTGGTTGTCCTTGTGATTTTCAAACTTTATACTCTTGGGATTTAGGCTTCTGTGGAGGTGATTCTGAGGCGACTCACAGTCACCTGTGTAAAGTCTAAGTAGCCTGTTTTAAGTGCGGGTGTTCTGTTTGTAATCTGTCTTAATGATATCATACACGAGATTTATAATATATTCCATTTTTTGCCTGTAGGCATTAATTCGAAAACTCCTTTATAGTAAGGTCCATTCCTTATGCATCTTTATATGCCTATTACAGGTATTCTGAAGTGTCTTAAAATTATTTAGTTTTTATTTTCTTTATGATATATTATTCATTCTGTTATTGTGATCATGATCATAATCACAATCGCTTATTTTCAGGATTTACTCAGGACTTAATCATATGTAACCTTGCATTATTTTGTGTACAGGCTTCAAAACTATTATAAAGAACTATTGGTATGACTCAGAGATTTTCTGGGCAGAGGACCCTTATTCTTGTTTTGTAAGTCTGGGTGCAAGAGTGGGCCTGGACCATGATGCATCAGTCTGGAGGGCTGAGGTGATAACTGCATGTTTGGTACCACATGGTATTCCACAGACATGCTGCTGAGACAGATGATGTGTTCATGGCCTAGAGAGAGCAGATATCCAAACTGGCCCAGCTTGATAAAATGAGCTTGAAGGGGATAGTAGAGCTTCTGCAAGGTCTGATGTGATCTGCACATTATTGCAGGTTTTTCTGCTATATTGCAAAATATGAATTTGCACAAATTCCCATATTCTGAAAAACTTCAATCTAAAAATTGAAGAGAAAAATAATTTCATTCTTATGTTCCTGACTGAGTTGATTTCCTGTACACGCTTTATCAAGATTGACGTGTAAAGATCCAGATTGTAAATATCTGACTTTATGGGCCAAGAGACAAACTTGAGATATTACATATGTGCTTTATAAGAGAAATACATTGTAGAGTATAATTATGTTATAATACAAGTCTATTTAGCAGGAGAATGGATTCTTTTTTGGGGGGAGATAACATTTAGCTGAATTGGGATTCAAAGCTAGTGTTCCCTCCCATCAATTGGTTGCAAATGTTCATTTGTAGTGACCATTGCTATTTGTGGACCATATAGACACTGGGGATAGGCTCTATCTGGCCTGTGGGCTATATTTTGTCTCCTTGGCTTTAGATAAATGAATACCATTTGTTTATTCAAATGGGGCTGCCCATTAATTCAAACCCATTAATGACTTTTAAACATACAACAGTTGTGAACTTTCTCATTCTGTGAGCTGCAAAAAGAGACATTATTATTCTCATTTCATTGACAAGAAATTGCTTAAAGAGATATGCAGGTGGTCTATTGCAGGCCTTCCTTTCTTTTGCAAATATATAATGAGTCTCTGGTTTGTGCTAGGCACCCTGTTAAGTGTGGGTGAAATGGATTTACAAGGTCACATGACTAACAAAGGGTGGAGTTTGGACTCAAATCCCCATCTCTTGTCAACAGGCCATACCCTGTCCCGTGTAGTATATGAAACAGAATGCCTGCTCAGCACCATGCAGGGTGTTAGATGAATTTGTGTTGTGGTTTTACTCTCTTGTATTTATTAGGACTCTCTGGTTGCAAATAACAAACTACTTCAAGTTCACTATTGTCAAGGTTCAAGGGTGGTGAGGCTGGAATGCTTGGACTGGTCTGTATTGGGGAATTGAAAATGGCCAGGAACCCAGGCAATACCTCCTTTAGCACCTGTCTGTAAAACTAGGCATCTTTTATTTTCACAGGCTATGTAGTGCGATATTGGTCTCCATAGTTCAAGTGTACATGTGTATATAGAATCCTGGTGAATAAAGAGACTATTTGTTTCTTTAATTTACATATTATCTGGAAGGAGCTCTTTTCCCCCCTCCCATTTGTAAAGCATGTTTTTGAGGGTGGCAGTCACGACTAATGTGACTCATCTTCAACCATGATTGTGTGGATTGGAGTATCGCTTTCCAGGTACTGCCCACTACCTTGGACAGTGCCCAGTGTATTTACGTAGAAAGGAGATCTATGCACAGTGATGTCTACAGTTGGATTCAGTCTAGAAATTGCCAAATTACCTTAAAGTTTTAAAAGTGAGGAACCTAATTGATTCCTCTTACTATATTTCACTTACATGCTCATAAATAAGAAAATACTTTTTCCTGCTAGCTTTCACCTTTTCAAAATTTACTTTTTAAAGAGGTTTAGTTTAATTAGTTAGCTTTTCAGTATAAGGAGCCACTTATGCTTAAGTGTCTTTTACCTCTTATTTAAGTGAAATTTTATGGAACCAGCCTCACTTCCTGCTAGCCCTTCTCAGCAGAGCCCACATAAATTGCTTCTGTGGAAGTCACAAATCCATGTTTTGGTGGTGGGTGTGCTACAGTGACTACACCTGAGGGGACAATCTTATACTTCCGAAACACTAACAAGGATGTAAACCAGTATAACTTCAATAAAAGAATAGTACACCATCCATCTCCAGAACTTTTTCATCTCCTAAACAGAAACTCTGCAGCTCTTAAATAACTCTCCTCTTTCTTCTCTCTTCAGAGCTATTGGCAACCACTGTTCTGTTTCTTTTCTCTATGAATTTGACTACTCTAGGGATTTCACATATGTGGAATCATTCAAAGTGTGTGCTTTTTTTTTGTCTAGCTTATTTCACACCCATGTTGTGTATGTGTAAGAATCTCCTTCCTTTTTAAGTACTATTCCCTTTTACGATATACCACATTTTGTTTATCTATTAATCCATCTGTGCACATTTGGGTGGCTTTCACCTTTTGGCTGTTGGGAATAATGCTGGTATCAGCAGAAGTGTATAAATAGCTGTTCAAGCCCCTGCTTTCAGTTCTTTTGCTGGATTATATGGTAATTCTGTTTAATTTTTTTTAAAGATTTATTTTATTTATGCATACAAGAGCTGGGGTGTACAAGAGCTGGGGTATAGGCCAGAGGTGTGGGGATGAGCTGATTCACCGGAGACAGAGTGGGGAGCAGAACAGAAAGATCTACTGAAATATACTGCTGAGGGGAGCAGCTGGCTGCACCATGTGGGTTAGCTCCCTGGCCGAGGATTGTACTTGTGCTGCAGTGGCTGCTGATAGTTTGATAGTGCTGAGACTTAACTCCTAGTGCCACCCGGGAGGCCCTGTTTAATTTTTGGGGGAACTGCTTAACAGTTTCTTTTTTAAAAAGATTTATTTATTCATGCATACAAGAACCGGGGTAAAGACCAGACGCGTGGGAGGGTGAGAGGACTCACCAGAGACAGAGTGGGGAGCAGAACAGGCAGGCTGATTGAAATACACTGCTGAGGGGAGCAGTGGGCAAGACAGGATATGTCTGCCGTGCCATGTGGGATTCTTGCCGGCCAACTGGCCGGCTGGGATCAAACCCACACTGTACAGACTGCGGACAGCTTCACAGCGCTGTGCTCAACCACCCGCGCCACCAGGGGAGGCCCTTAACAGTTTGTTTTTGAGATAGCTCCTTATCTTTGTCTAAAACAGTGGCACAAAGCAACAGATTTTGCCAATACTATTATTTTTTCCCCCAAGTTTGCACAGAAGAGTATAATATAAACTGCACTCTCACGACACTAGTGAGCATGCTTCTCAGTCTGAGGGCACTTACTTATCTCTTGACTTTGCCTTGGTTTCTGTCCCTTTTCCTAGATTCTGTTTGGTGGACAGTTTTGACCCATGATAGTCAAGAGAACATGGGTTAGAAGTGAAATGGACAGGTAGCATGTTGGATACCAAGTGCATATTTTAGCATTCCTCAAGGTAAGCAAATACATTCACAGAAAGTACTGAAGGAAAGTAGGGGTCAGTGGGAGTCTGAGACATGTAAAAGACTTCATACAATCCTGCTCTCTGTTGGGATGGGCAGCAACTGTGGAGCAGAGCTGGCAGCTCAGCCATGAGTCAAGTCTGATCTCAGGGATCTTAAGAGTTAAAAGCAGAGATCAGGATGTTCCCCTGTGCAGGATGGCTGTGCATGTGCTCCTCAGTTCTGGAAAGGAATCCCTCAAGCCAGTGTTTCTCAATCTTTATTTTATTATCAACTCTCAAGGAGACATGTTAGACATGTTTTTTTTCCTAACAGTCCCCTCTTGAAGTCTTAATGGACATACTGATTATCTGTTTATATACTGTACTATATCTTCACTTTATACATAAAAATCTAATATTTTTTTGTTCCCAAGTAAATGCTTTCACTGTTTTTGATATTATCCCCTATTTAATTTTGAGAAATCATGCTGTATACTACATGGGGCAGAAATATCTTTTAGAGTTTCTGTTTCCATCTCTCGAAGTTGAAACAAAACAAATCATCAGTCCCTGTCTGCCCAACCTCTCAAAAAACGCCTAATATTCCAAACCCCTGTAGGGTTTTGCAAATCCCATATTTAATTTTTCTGGGAGATGCACTGGAGATAGCATGGGTGATAACAGTCTTGTCATGCAAATGTTCTTTTTTTGCCCAGTTTTCTAAGTACTTAGA